GGGTTATGATGGCTTGCATCATAGCTAGCAGTCTGTCATCGTGTTGCTTCTGCGCAGTAGTTCCAGTAGCAGGGGCGCGGCTGCTGGGGCAGAAGTGGGCATGGTTTTCTTCGCTTTTTCTGCGTAAGAGGTCCTATTTGAGGTGGAGACTGCTTTGGGGGCAGCAGCAGCTCTCCTCGGGGCCTTACTACATCCTTTGTAGTTTTCTGGGTGTCCTCTCCTCAAAGGCAGCATTTGGCATTTCGTTGCCCTGTTGGCGGCGACGGACGGCAGACTGCAGTTGGTGGCTGTGGTGCTCACCACACTTTACGCACCGTTCAGCCAGACGGCAGTTTCGCTGCGTGTGTCCGTACGCTGGTAGCGGTAGCATTGGCTGGGCTCGGTGGACTTTTCCTTTCTCTCGAAGCTGACCGTGAGCATGGCCAGCCTCTGGATCTCTAGAAGCTTTTCCGCCAGCTTCGTCTTGACGATGAAGAGCGGAAGTGGCTTCTTGGTGGTCCTTGTGGTCATCTGCTGAACCTCGGCGTCTGCGATACCTTGGCTCACTAGATCCTCTTTGATGTCATCGATTGACATCTCCTTTCAGTTGTGATTGACTGCGAAGCTAAAAACATGAACTAGCTGACCAATCAGCGCGCGCTTGACGGCAGGGGGCAGAGTCTATGCCTTTCGTGAGGACTTATCCCCTCTCCAGGTAAGAACCGGTCAATATAAATAGAGGCCGCCGTCATTTCATGAGCAGTCAGACTTGAGTTCGAAGATGGATCTGATGGTGAATGAAGCGATGCTTGAAGACGGACTGCCTAGGTGCTCGACGCCTATTCGGAGGTCGATGTACCAACCAAGACCTAACTGTAGTACCGCTACTGATAACGACGGTTATTCGAGGTTCCGCTGCAGGTTGGACTTGGGAGGCGTGGCTCCAAGGCTTCGGGGGTCACCATGCGCAATTCCAGGGGTGCTCTGGACTCATCAGGAAGTAAATGTCCTGAAAAAAAAACGGTTCTTTTCAGAGCCACTAATTTATCTGCAATGAAAAAAGATTATCTGTTAGCTCTAATGATATTGTCATTATAATTTAAAATTCATATCTCTTCAAAAACGCTTTTTTTCAGAGCCACTGATTTATATTCAACGGAAGAATATCCGTTAGCCCTAGTGATATTGACATTAGAGATTTGGAAATTCATAATCTCTTGAAAAAACGGGATCTTGTCTACTGCTACGTGCTGCCAACCCAAGCGTTGCGGCGCAATGTACGGACTAAGAAAGGACGTATTCAGGTTCTATTTCATATAATATAGCGTAAAGAACTCGTTCTGCAAATAGGTACTCACAATCGCGATTGCTGATACTCCTCGATTTTAAAGCCGTTTTACTTCCCACGCCATTGTGAAAAATTTCTAAAATGAGATTTTGTTTTTTTAAGTCATATGACATCTACATCACGAAAAACTGTATCACTCATCATCAATTTAGAAATTATCGCTCGGATTTCCACACTAGTATGCCAAAGCTTTGTAGTTCTACTTCAGTGGCAACGATGCTATAGGCAAAAAAGAAAAGTAACAATTGCTGAAACTCCGTTTTGAGGTTTTCAGGGTCCTAATCGTTGACATAAAAAATTGTACTGCTAAAATGGGGGGTTGATATCAGTGAAACACGTTCTGTTATTGAGAGTTTCTGATCCCAGTGATTACAGAAATTTAAGTAACCGACAGTAGGGAATAATAAATTCGGATATCACTCCAGTCAAGTATAGGGGAATTTAGCGTGGAACTTTAAATTACAATCGAGACGCTGTCAACCTTATTCTCCGTGAAGACGCCACAAAGTACAGTCCTGTGATTTGGTGACTTGTTCGATCTGGAAATCTCGTCGTCACTTTTTAAGTTTCCCTGAAAATTTTTCGCTTAGCAACCTCCAAATCAATGTAGTTAATGTCAGGTTTTGACTGGATTCGAGCATAAAACTATTCATTTTCTTTGGAATGGCTATCCGATTGTTATTATTTTATATCAATTTTTTTGGTCTGAGTTTCTTTCCATGATTCTTGCGTTTGAGTCTTTGTTCCATCTTAGTGATACGCGAGGTTGACTAAGCTTAGAACGCAAATGTATTTGGACCACACAGACAGGCCACTCGGTATTGTGGCTCACTACAGCTGCAGCACATCTTCCACGGTTATGACCTCTTCTTGCAATAATTTATTCGCTTACCCCAATGTATTTTGCGATTATAGAGTTGAACTGCCCCAAATTATTGTTGTCCTCATCATGATTAACTCACTGCATTCGTAATCAAAATTGTTGCATATGACCTTTTATTGTCCATTATCAACCTTGATAAAAAAGGCACTCAAGACAATCACACCAACAAGAGAATCTACAGCACAACAATTCAACAACAACACAATAACAAAGGTAGAACAATACTAAATGATCACTTGCTGAGTACCAAAATAGGAAACGATTTACAGGCTAGATCGCTAATCGAAATCCGACTCTGTTATTATAAAAATTTACCTCGGTACGCACCCGCAGTCATCCTTTCCTCTTTTAAAGTAGCGACGGCCGTCTAAGACCAGCCCACCATCGTTTCCTTTTCACCCCCCCCCGTTACCTCAGCAGATGGAGCTCGTGATTGTAGGAGCCCCGTTAATGCCTAGGATTTACTCTACTTCAAGTTTATCGAACTTTGCAATTATCGGCTATTCCAATGTCTCAAAAAATTTTTTTGTTACCGAACGTAGGTTTACAAGACATGTTGAAAAAATCATATTTGATCATATGTTTCACCAGACATTTCCTTATTCATGATCGTTAACTTTAATGAATCTAAAAAATAGAGTGGATGTAAATCAAAATTTATGGATAACATTTATTGCTTTTACCCATTAAATTAGACCATTTCCATCAGTGCTGTCTGACAACTTAAGGTGCATTACTCGTAATTATGACTATACAGGGTGACTTCGAAGTTTGAGTCATTTATTTTAACAGTGAGTAGATCTGATCAAAAGAAATGTTTTTCCTTTACCATTTTTCTGGTAAAATTAAAGTAACAAAGTTATAGCCCTTTAGAAGTTTGAGTACCGCCCGGTCTCAATAATAATATGTTCGTGTTTGGCGACAACGGATATAATCCGCCTGACCGGGTCATCGCATCGGAAACAAAAAAGCGAAAGATTTGAAACGTTTATCACGATGTTTTCGTCAGTCGATAACGCGTTAGTGAATAGTAGTGTTTGTTGCGTGGCTCAAACGAATCAAAAATGGCACATGTTTACGAAAATGCTGAACTGTGGACATGATTCTTATTTACGGGGGGGCAGTCTTTACAAAATGCTCCCGGATGCATCACGGATTTATGCGAATCGGTTTCCCAATCGAGTGCAACAACCCCTCGTGCCTTTGTTAATGTAGTACAAAGGGCCTCGTGAATCAGGTGACTTAAGACCGCACAGGAAAGGGCATGCCGGTGCTCCAAGACCGCACGATCAATACAGGTCCGCACTGAAATACTTGTCGGGACGATACTTTATTAAACAAGGTAACATTTTTTTTATTTATTTTTTTATTTTTACACACATATTTTGGTTTATCTTCCTTCTACAATCATTATCTGAAAATTAATGACTCAACTTCAAAGTCACCCTGTATAATTGACTTTGTGTACCATGATTTCTTCTTATTAATTTGGTTCCCTACATGCATTTTACAACCAAGTGACTCTAATTTGTCTTATCAGATACTTTCAATATATAAGCACTATCATCGGTCTTAATCAAATCTCTCTTTTGTTGTCACCTTACAAAGACATATTCTTCAATTAGGTATTTATGTCGAAAAGTTTACTTGCAAGATGATCTAGACTCGCTTTCTGACTCAATGATTTCTCTGTTAGCGATCATATGTACGTCTCTCGTACTCCTATCATCTGATGTCAAGATTATTTTCCAAGACCCATTGGATTTGATATGATAAGACTGTAGTCTGAATGTACGAGGGTGTTAAATATCTATGATATATCTCACGAATAAAAAAATTCAAATTTCATACTACATTTGTCCCTAGTTCCCTAACCAGACAGGAGCTAGCGCGAAGCATTTCCTCTTTCTGCAGAGTGATTTATCGTCCCTATCTATGCATCTCGTCTTGGTTTAAAAAGCTCAATTTCGTACTATTCAGTACT